CTAAGTCCTAACCTGGAAAGCATCTTAGATTCCCTTCTGTCTTGTTGATTTTTGTTAAGTATCTTTCAAACCAGTCTCCAAACCTCTCTGCCTGTGGTAAATCCGATCCATCCTTCAAGGCTTCACTCAGTTATCACCACCTCTAAGGAAGTCTTCACTGAACAGCCCAGTTCCCCTTCTTTATTTGCCCTTTAAAGCATTCAGTTATCATAGGGCATTGAAACGTCAGTTTAGGGGCTCTTTGAGGGCAGAGAGTAAGGCTTAACCACTTCTCATCTTAGCACATTTCCTGACATATGATGTACCCTGTAAATATTTGTTCAGCTGTGACTGAAACGGACTCTCACCTGCCTCACATTCACTGCTGTGATCCTGTCATCTATCACCTGGATTACAATAGGCTTGACTGCCACTGTTCTCCCAGGGATGCCCAGCTCCAAGCACTCTCCACGTTGCAGTCAGAATTTTCTTGTAAAACACTAATGCAGACACTTCATAGAGAGGCCCAGAGAGCAAGAGAAACAGGAAGGAAGGCATAGCAGAAAGAGTGCACTGCTTATCCAACTGGGTCACTCACTATGACAGAAAACAAATGACCAAACTGGGGCAGTGAGTCTTCTGGCTTTATTTTGACATAATTTACTCATCCAAAGACAAGCCAACCAGAAAGTTATCTTTCTTGTATGACAAGACACTGACAAAAAAAGAAAAATCCACACAATGATATTGGATTTGCCATTCTCCTTGTGAATTACTACTAGACCAGAGTCCATTTAGGAGGACGAGGAAAATCAAAAGATTCTGATGTGTCTGGTTGTGGATCATAGAGATTAGAAACCTAAAGAAGAAAAATAGACATTGATGGAGATTTCAGAGGATAGGATAGTCAGGAAATTCCATTTTGATCCCCTTCAGGATAGCTAGGGTATCACTGCTGCAATACCAAACAACCCCAAACCCCAATGGCTTAAAACAACAAACATTGATTTCTTGTTCACATTACAAATCCATTGTGGGTTGGGTGTAGGATCTGCCTCATATTTTTTACATCCTCACTTTAGAAACCACTCATACTGATAGAGGAACCGCTATCTGAACCATGTTATCCAATAAAAATAAAATGTAAGCCACAAATGCAAGTCACTTGTGTAGTTTTAGATTTTCTAATAGTTATATTTTAAATGGTAAGAAGAAACAGATGAAATTACTTTTAATAATATCTTGTATTCAACCCACTATAGTCAAAATAATACCTTTTTAACAAGTAGTAAATACGTCCCTAATGACTAATGATGTTGAGCATCTTTTCATGTGCTTTTTTCCAACCATACATCTTCTTCAGTAAGCCCCCTTTTATGATGTTGTTTGTTTTCTTATTATTGACAAAATGTGACCTTTGATCACCCAGCAGGGTTTTTTTTCTGTGTACGTACCCAATAATATCAGTACAGTAAAGTTAGATTAAAACGTTTTAAGTACATATACTAATGTGCACACACACATATATACAGAGATATAGACAAGCCAATCAGATCAGGAAAATGCTTTAGAACATATAATGTTAGAGAACACAATTTTCAGAAGCCTCAAAACCAGCATCCACAGGGCAGAGCTAGTTGCATAGCTGTATCTGCCCATAGAGGCTTCCCTTTAAACAAAGAAATGCCCAGTGTTGTAGCTGGCTGTGGCCTAACAGGAAATGCTGCTGCAGCTGATAGGGCAAAAGTAGTGTGGGCAGTAAGCAGGGCGTTCCCTTGGCAACAAGATAGATAGCCAAAAAATGGTAAGAACCAAATATATCCAGGACAGAGCTGAGCACTTAATTAAGCACATGGATTCAGAAGCCAGTCAGAACTGGGTTTGAATTTCCTTGGGCTACTGGCTCAGGGCTTTTAGGTAATATTATTAACCTCATTTTCTTCATTTGAAAAATGGGAGTGAAGCTGCTTCGAATGATTGTTGTATACATTAAGTGAAAAATCTGTGTGTTATGTAGCAAAATTCCTGGCACTCGTAGTCAGCACATTAAACTCATCTCTTATTGTGAAGGGAAAGTTTAAAGTGAGGGTGAAGTGTATGAACTCTGGGGTCAGCCAAACTGGCCTAGAGCCCCGATTCTGACAATTTTTGGCTGTGTGACCTTAGACACTCATTTTGCCTCTCTGTGTCACAATTTCCTCATTCATAAAATGGAAATAAGATGGTATAAATTTCCTAGGGTTGTATGAACATTAACTTAGCCTCTACCTGCAGAGTACTTAGAAGGGTGGTAGCAGACAGGAAGTGTTTGCTCTTATAGCAGCAGTGCCCTCCCTAAACTCAGGTCAGTGTATAAGAAGTCCCCTGCCTGTGCCCTTCATTCACACTGCTCAACTAGCAGCTATTTATAGAACACTTGCTGTGCATAAGCACTGAACTAGGTATCAGGAGGGACTGAAGAAAATTGTAAAACACAGACACTTTTGTGACCCAGAAGAACACAAACCCTAAAACAGGAAGCATGGTTGGTAACTGCAACCAATATAGTGTGTGACTATTGTTAAATTCCTAGTGCACATAGATGATAGGGAAATTCAGAGGCATATGGTCTGCCATTGGAATTAGATGGAATTACAGAGAGAGGGGGGCAGTAAGGCGTTAAGCTGGGACTGGAAGGAGGAATAAGAATGAGAGAGCCAGAGAGACAGGGAACAAAGAGTGTTCTAGGCCTTGGGTGCATGAGCAAGAGAAGGTGCCAAAAACATGATGGTCTTCCTAGGGACCAGTGAGATGGATGTATGTGTGGAGTGGAAGGCCATCAAAGGGAAAATCAGTTAGGAAAGGTAGGTAGGGGCCAGTTTGTAAAGGACCTTAAATGCTAGGCTGTGGCTTCATTGTCTAAACAGTAGACAGTGGGGATTCAAGCAGTTTCCTGGTAGCTTTTACCTTTAATGTTGATAAAAATCACCCATCTATTTTTGTAAAAAGTAGATGTGCAAACATAAAGGCCCCACTCACACTTAAGAAATCAGAATCACTGAAGCGGAGGTTCAGGCATCTATTCAGTGAAAGAATTCCACAAGCCATTCTGATGGAGACTCAAAAGTTGAACCCCACTGCCAAAGCCTTTAAAACCTGGATTGCCATGAATGGCTTCTATGGCAGAGGGCTCAGAAGAAAAGAAACTAAGATTTGTTGAGTTCCTACACATGCCAGGTGACTTACAGGTAGTATTTCATTTAGTCCTCACAAGAGCCCTGTGAGGGGAACATTATTATTCTCATTTTAGGGATAAAGAAGCTGATATTCCTACATGTCACAAATGCAGTCAGTCACACACAGGGCACTCAAACACCGGTCTAGACTCCGGGACCACTGCATTTCCCACTGTGTCACATAGCTTCCCCTAAACACCTGTGTGCACGTTTCCCTTGAAACTTCACTCGGCTCAAACAGAGTCAAATAACAAATGTGGTATCATAAACACTCTCCTCCTATCCTTGTTTCGCTCCTCCAGTGGCATCTAAATTCTACCTTCCCTCTGCGCTGAAACTGAGCCAAAATCACATCACTGAGGACTGTCAGTTTATTTTTTTAAAGCAAGCTTCTCTTAACTTTCTCTCTCTTTCCTTTGCCCTTTGCTCTCCAATGTCTCCTAATCCATCCAACTCAGTTGTGAAACTTCTTATTCAGCGAACTCAAAATAGAACCCGAGTTCTTAATTTCTTTTGTGGTTTTCTTTTCACCCGGAAGGCTGACGTGAAATGACAGCAGGGAGGGGTTTTTATAGTAGGCTCACACAAAATCCAAAGGAAATGATATCAATGCTCTCTTTAGCTTTCTCAAATGTCTACCAACAAACACCGGGAAACGGTTCGTTATTTGAATTTAAGCAAGTTCCTCATTCTGCTTTTGAACGTCACCCACTGCTGACAGAATTTTAGCCACTGCATGTGTGTCTACAAGAAACACTTAACATCTATCCTTAAATCAGTATTGTAGTCTCCGCTTGTGTGTAAGAGTCTCATCTTACAATGCCTCCTTCTATTTTTTTCCCAAATAGGTATTATTTTTCAGATTGAATACTTTCTTTTTCTGACTTGCTGTCGGTCACATGATGCAAGAAGACGTTTTTCTCCTTTATATGTACTTTCTTAATTATTCCACACTTGATTATTTGACCATTTATTTTCCCCCAATCGAAACTGGAATCCTGGGTAAGATGCCGAGCAACCTTTCTTTTGGGCTTCAAATGTTCTCCAAATGCAATTAACAGTTTGTACATTCCTTCATCACATTTTGTCATTGGGGGAAATATCTGTCTCTCAAGGGCTCAGACCCATGTGGATTTAACTGTTACTTTGCCTGAAAGGTCCTGGGCATAATTTCTAAGCTAAAGAGATTCAGACATAACACCTATACCTATACTCTAAATATCCACTTTGAAAAGCGACACGTTCATTCCATCAGGAATAACTGATTACCCACGTTAGAAAGCCATAATGATGCTTCAAATTCTCTGCAGACCACTGTGTACAAATACACAGATTGTATAATGAAAATTCCTAGGAGTGACAGTCATTTAGACTACAATGTGAATAGGGGCCCCTGGAGTTGAGCAGTTCACATCCTGCTCAACTGTAATAGCAGCCCTTCAGTAGGAAATTAATTTTCCCCTAATGTAAATAGTTTTCTGTATCCTTAATAGTTAGTGGCTATTTATGGACTGTTTTTCTTGCTTGCACATTATAATCAAGGTCTTGTAAATTAAAAATTAGTGATATAGGTTCAGGGAATAGGAAGAAGGACAGCATATATCTTCCTGTTCCCTAAACTTTATCTTTATTTTCCTCAAAGTTTTATTATTCCCTAGAATAGAGTGGCTTTGTTAAAAAAAATCATCATAAAGTCATTGGGATGACTTGAGAGATTAAAAATTGCATTATCCTCCATAAATGAAAGTGGGTTGTATAAAAGGAGAATCAATGGGAGGCAAAACATCAGAGTCATCACACCAAAAAGACATTAAACATGGTTATGTTTATTTCAAAACATAAAAGTGGACTCCATATTAATAAATACTTTTAACACTGATGTAGAAATGTAGAAAAATGACTGTGCATGTTCTAGGAAGACCGTTTACTAAGAATCAGAGCAAAGGTAGTCTTTTACCTGTAGGCCATTGATAAAACAATCTAGGAGTAGGAACAGCCTCATGGATATCGTGTGGTATTGAGGGAGGGAAAGAGAAGAGTTGATAAAATCAGGAAGGATTTTCTACTCTCCTTTCCTCACTAGGGCCTTAAAATTAAAAATCTAAAATTGAAAACTACACCATCACACACATCACTGGTTTCTTTCTCTAATCTTTTGGATTAGAATCACTAGTTAGTGGCCACAGTCAAAAGCTGGAAAAAGGTACCCAGTATGAATCTAGGTCATATTACTCTGGTTGGTAATGGTTTCATGAGGCTCCTTGGGGTTCAAGCAGGAGCTGCCACAGTTTATGCTTAAAGCTCAGGCACAACCACAGTATCATTAGGTGGAGAATTGAAGGTACTGAATGATGTCAACAGCCCCCCTCTTCTAGCTCTGTCTAGACTTCAGTCCTTTCGGTGCTCTTTGTATAAACCTATCATCCAATCTGCCTGCCTATGGTGCAGCCTCTGTACCCTCTGGAGCTGGGGTTGAGGAGACACATTAGCCAGGCAGCTACCCAGGCCTCTCACTCATGGAGAGAACCCATTAAGGGAACCCATATGGCCACTTTTTTCTGCAAACATTCAAATGAAACTATCTCAAATATTTGGAGTTCCTCGTCCTAATTATAATAAATGATAGAGAACTGCTTCAGAAAGGGACAAAGATAGACCCTTCTCAGATCAGCCTCAAGTGGGAGCAGAAAATGCCTGCCCTCGGTGCCTTCAGGGCATTGAAAAGATCCTTCCTTGTCTACTCCTTGCTTCCTTAGGTCTTTTCTCAGAAGACGTTACTTTCCAGGCTATGGTAAGTGAAAGAAGTTTTCAACCCAAAAGCCACTGCTGCAGCTCTGGCTCTCAGGAAGTTTCTGGATGGAGTGAGGAAGGAAGAAAAGATATTTTGATACATGATCTCATAGCCAAGAGAAAGGCAAGGCAGTGAAAGAGAACAAGAGAGGCCGATACCTAGCCCTCTGAGTACAGATTGGGATGATTTTCCAGGAAAGAGCTGTCTCCGGTTCTGAAGGCCAAGACTTAGCCAAGAAAAGACACCAGCTGGATGACTACAGGCACTTTCATTTCCACAGGCATTAGAATCACAGGGCTTTGGTTTTAAGCTAGGGAAGACCTCAGGAATCTTACTTCTTCATTTTCTAGAAGAGGAATCTGAGGCCTGGAGAGATTAAGCAGTGTACCCAGGCCACACAGCTGGTTATACCTGCTTGGGGGACATGGAGAGTAGCAGAGAAGCCTCAGTGAGCCATGTGGTGGGTGCAGGTGAACATCGCGTGGCATGTGGTTAGTTACATTCAGAACCCCCACAAATAAAAATTTCCCACCCTTGAGCCCTTTCTGGTTGTTTTGTCACCAGAAGTGAACAGATCCTGGACCAAACTTATCCATGGGGTTTTCTCGGGAGGGTGACGAGGAGCATCAGGTGTGTCCTCACTTCCCAGTCCGGGAGGTCACCTGGATGGCTTTGATCCACTCAGTGCGCTCCTTGGGGGTGGCCGCTTGCAAGAAATAGTGAATTTCATCAGCCGTGATGATCTCAAAGAGGTTCTCTTCTTCACTCTTCTTGCCTGGTGAGAGAGAAAGTGAGTGAGTGCACGTGGGCACCAGAAGAGCTACCTAGTCACGCCCCTTCAGCAAGGAATGAAATCCCTGTTTTCTGGGTGTTCTAAGAATATTAAATACATGGTTTTCAAACTCACCATCATTGTATGATCATGTATAGTTATTAAATAATTATATATATATGGTATTTATATGGACAGGTACATAGTATGGTCGTGTGTGTGTGTGTGTGTGTGTGTCTGTGTGTGTGTGTGTGTGTGTCTGTGTGTCTGTGTATTTAAGAAATAAGTGAACCACTCAAGGAGAAACATTTTCTTTTATAATTTACATGCAAATAAAACTTCTCACTTTGGCATACCAATAGTATTTAATGAGTAACCTCTAACAGTGTCTATTAAGTATCTTTCCTTTGCTCATAATATAAACAAAGGGCTGACTTTAATATATTTTAATAGATAGATAGATAGATAGATAGATAGATAGATAGATAGATAGATAGATAGATAGATAACCAGACCCATGGCCAGTACCATCAGTACAGCCTGAACTTGTTTATATCAAGGGCTAAGTTAGAGTCTTTGCTGAAAGATCAAAAGGCAATACAGTGGCCAATACTATGACAAGAGTTAAAACAGCTGCCTCAAATCAAAAAACAACATGTTTCCTACCCCAAGACTAAAGCATAATTCTATGGGGAGAGGGGAGTGAGCAGGTCTAGGGGTAGTAAAAATCTAGACTTTTGCAGCTGCAGTGTTTGCCTGTCAGTCTCGATAACATCATAAACCCAGAATGACAAGGCGAAACCAGGCTATGGATGTCTAAACTATTACACATCTGCACAGTGATGCTGCTCATCCCCATACCTGTGAAGTCAAGCTACACCAACGTGGTCACTTCGAGCACCAAATCACAGACCTGTGATCTGGGACCCAGGGGCAATCTGGTACAACTCCCTTATTCTCAGAGGAGGAACTACGACCCAGGTTAGTTAGGCGATACACCCAAGGCCGTGCTGCTAACGACTAACATGGACCTGACTACAACCCAGGCGCACCACGCCACCTCACTGCACAAATGTTCCTTTTGTTGTGGGAGATTTCCTGGTTTGCAATAGGCTCCTGTTAAGGCATGTCATGGCTCAGTCACAGTCATCAGGAGGTAACAAGTCTCTCCATTTAATTCAGTTCTGATATGAAAGGTTTTCCTCAGCATTGCTCAAAGATTTATTGAAGGCATCCACAAAGCCACTCCACCTCCCCAAGGCCCAGAGAGCCAGGACAGCAGTGGGGACAGATCAGCTCTAGGTCTCTCCCAGGTTCTTAGACAGAAATTCATTCATGCTTATGCCTGATTCATTGAGTGAGTGATTGCTGTTGACTCAGGATGCCCAGGTGTGGGAAGGAAGCCTGAGTGGACACACCCCTTGCAAACAAAATTTCATTTTTACCATCTGAGTTGCTCTCCACTGAAGTCACCACACAGCCTCTCAAGCGAATCGCTCCCAGAGGGTCTTCCCCCTAGAGGAGAGAGGAGCCTTTTATTATGTTTCCAAAGCACAATGTATGGCTATACCTTATCCTGTTGGTGAAAAGCCACACAGACTCACTCTGGTAGAGATCGGACCCCCAAATAGATAAGAGCAGAAGGAGATAAAAAGAAACCCTTTCAGGTCCTCTCCCCACCC